CATAAATAGTCTTCTATAATTCATCCTCTGTTATATTCAAAGTAATATTACGATAGTCGTTGATTTAAATGTCGCTTAAAAATATTATAACTTGTGTTATGAAACGAACTCATTTGAGGTACAATTTATTCTGAATATAAACTATAGATGTAGCATTCGCACCGTTGAGCGGAAAGTTAAATGGTCTGAATTTGACACGGAATACTTGAGGCGATACATTCAGTTGTTTTGTTAACTGTCACCGACCGATCATTAATATAGTCTGTTTGTAAATTGTCTAGTTGTTATAAAGAGTTTAAATATAAAACGTCACTTTGTGACTGTGACTGGATACGCTATTTGCAGACATTTTACAATTACATACTGGTATGTCGATCAGTCTGTGACATGAATGTTAAAAATATTTGTTGGACACATCCTATTCTATCCATAAAAATATTACAATTAAGTATTAATTCATTCAATGTTAAATAACAACTGGATTATATATTATTATAAATATTAAAATGTGCAAACAACCATCGTAGGTGCGGAATAAACGAACTGGTGCACAGTAATGCAATTAATTATCATAACGAGTTTGCGCGACGATGAATCGCGAATACTGATTCAGATTGAAACGACGCGCGATGAAAAATTAATAACACGCCAATTTACAAGCACCGTTTATACATACCTTTACTGCTGTTGCTATGTATCACTAAACACAAAACAATAAATGAATATACTGCTACGTTTAAAAGCACTCTTTTGACTAAACTATCGCACAACTGTTTAGTCGCGCTTTGATTCCTATTAGCTTACATTAGAGTATACTACTCAATTTTTAGTTGTGCAACTAAACAGTTGAATTGGCTGCGAAACAATCGACAATCGCACAACAGTTGTGTCATAGTTTAAAGGTGTGCGCCCTCTCTTATAATTAAGAAATCTTTATTATAAGTCTTGGCAGCCCTAGGTCTTCGGCGCGCAGTGCATTGCCCTCACTCCAAATCCCTTCACGCCCTACACTTAAAATTGTGTTCGGAACAGAGTCTCATATGATCCAAGACGTTTTATATCCTTCAAAATGTGTCACATCTATCAATGATCTCAATTATGGCTTTTCTATTTATCTTCTGTCTTATATTTATTTATTTATTTATTTATTTATAAAGTACACCAACAGATAAGTTATAGAACAATTACATAAGAAATAACATATAAGACACAAGAATAATAACAAATATAGTTATCGGTATACAACATTGTTAGAGAAAAAAAAACATTACGGTTAGGTTACAGAAAATGTGGAACAAACAAGATAAGAGAAAAAAACGAAGTTAGCTAAAACCAAGTCCTATGTCTGTGCCTCTGAATGTGAGCATATGTGTTTNNNNAGTTCAGGCCTAAGTTAGATTTATACAATTGTATAAAAATATTTTGGTATTTATAGTTAATAACCACAGTTTTAATCTCTTTTACATTTTTATTTTTACCCAGAAAATCTGTAAACGTGTGAAGATAATATTTGGAGGTGCATTTGAGAGCTTAGCAATGGCTTTCAGGCGGTGTAGAGCATTCAGCGAGTTTAAGGAGTCGGTAAAGCGGCTCACAAGGAGTCATAGACGCGCGCGGCATTTTATCCTCATTGAGAATGCCGCACGTATGCTCAGATTCTTTCAAACTATAAACAGCATACTGCACTATTTTTATCTGAATTTTATATTTTATGGTTACGACTATAGTTTAACAAGTTTTGATGCATAACTTTGTGTTTATGAAACACTAAAATACGACATGTCTTGCATTGTTTGCATTTGCCTGTTTAACAAATGCAAATGGAGTTGCTAAAATCTTTATCAATTGGAATTGGGTTATCGAGATTTTTGTAGGCTTATTAACATGTATCATACAGTATTTTGTATAAATTTTGTTTTCCCGCAGTTGTTTTTAGAGTCGTCGTTTCTCATTGTTTAGTAACTGCTAGATGAAATATGACCGGAATAAAATAACTTATTGCCTATAGATGAAAAAAATGGCCAGTTAAAAATTTTTTCGATTCATTATATCACACCAGTTCACTCGATGGTAAAAAGAGAATGGAAATAAAAATTCCATGTTTGATTACATTTCAAATTAAATGTTTTGTATTCTGGACGTGTTTTTCGGAAATATTTGGAACAATGTAGCAGCTGTTTTTATTACTGTATTGGAATCATACTAATATTATAAATACCAAAGTTTAGTTGGATGGATAGATGTTTGTTAGAGTTTGTAGATTATACGGCTGAACAGATTTCAATCAAATTTGGTATAGATATAGAGAATAGTCTGGAAGAAAACATAGACTACTTATTTTTATTCTTTAATTACATCTTAAAATGTTTTGTTTTAAAAATCCAAAGTTTGTTGATGGGAAATTTAATAAATTATTGTGAATCGTTGACCAGAAGAAAACATTCGTGTGTTTAGTGCCGACGCCCTAAAATAGTTAGCTAAATTAATGCAATATGGTTTTCGTAAGCGAATTAAATAAAATACTTAAGTCCTATGGTTTCATTCTAAGCTATTGGAATACAACAACAAAAAAGCTGCGTTTTTTTAGACGTTTACTCGCTTTTCACCATTCAACATAGTCTCGATACAAAATTTATTAATAAACGAGGGGATGTATTTAATTTTCGACTGTACAATGGTCGTTTATTTCCATAAATATTCATTTTTATAATTTGGTTCCATTGTTGTTTCAGCGTGTTGATTATAATTAATGTCTCCTGTTAGAAATTATTTGTACAATTTTTTTATTACGTTAATTTAAATTTAATCGCTACATTCTAAAATTAGAAATTATACACTACTAGTTTTCGCCCGTGATTGCGTCCGCCTGGAATAAAAAACAAAAGCAAGTAGTCTATGTTCTTCCTGACTATCCACTATATCTATGCCAAAATTCATCGAGATTCCTTTAGGGTATAAACACTAACAAACACCTAAACTTTCGCATATATAATATTAGTAAGATTGTAATCCATTATTCGTATAATTTATAGTTTAAGTTCAACCTTGCTAAGTCTTTTCAATTCTATAAATATAACTAAGGTTTTCTCGTTACGTATAGAGAACACAAGTCAAGGAAAACAGTAATTATCTGACCATCATTAGCAATATCGGTCAAGTTTATACAATTGATAGTAAAATGAGTCTTATAACAGACTAGCTTTTGCTCGCGACTTCGCCCGCGTGATATTAAAAAATTTTGTCTATGTCACTCACAGGTAAGTTAACTTTCTAACGGTGAAAGAGATTTTAAAATCGGCCCAGTAATTTTTGAGTTTAAATTGAACAGGCTCAGATGGGCGGGCCACGTGGAGCGGATGGATGACACAAGAGTTCCTAAATGCGTCATGACAAGTAATCCCGAGGGCCGTCGAAGTCGAGGGAGGCCAAAGCTCCGGTGGATGGACGGCATCAGTAGAGACGTGAAAACCGTTGGCATAGCGAACTGGAGGAACGTGGCCAGAGATAGGCCGAAATGGAAAAAATTGCTGGACCAAGCCAAGGCCCACAAAGGGCTGTAGAGCTACAGAAGAAGAAGAAGAATTTTTGAGTTATTTCAATACATACAATAATACAAATCTTCTATCTTTATAATATTGGTATGGAGTAATTGGTAAATTAAACGTTTTTTTCTGGCTAGTATCTAGTTACGTCCTTGATAACTTAAATGCATATAAAAGCAATCTATTAAGTAATTATTGCGTTGCTCTATATTATTATTAATAATCAATCAGGTTAAGATAAAAGTGGAATATTCATTTAAGGCAGTGTAAGGTCGACGAGAAAGTCGATCAACCTTGGCTAAAACTGATAGCCCTTTGATGTAAACGCAATAACGTATAGATTAACCTCGTAATGATGAGATGCAGTATAACGAATTATAAAGTTTACATGGGGTTACAAAATAGACGTTAGTTAAGAATGTGGAGGGGTACACCGGTAGAGGGGGACCTAGAAAGAAATGGATGGATTGCGTGAAAGGTGACATGATCAAGAAGGAATTATGACTGAGATGGCGTATAATAGAATTATGTGGAGGACAAAACCGCCGACCCTACGGGAGTAGGATAAGGAGGTGATGATGATGATGACATGTGGTTTTACCGAAACAAATGTATAGTCACCTGCATAAATCCTACTTACATATATTATAAATCTGAAAATTTAGATGGATGTTTGTTAGAGTATGTAGCTTAAACCATTGAACGAATATTGATGAAATTTGGCATAGATGTTGAGAATAGTCTGGAAGAACATATAGGCTTACTTTTTTTTTAATTCCACGTGAACGAAGTCGCAGACGAAAGCTAGTATTTATATGTTTACCAAGCTATAGTTTCTACTAACTTTCTACTTATATACGCTTTCGCTTTGTTAAAATGATTAAAACTAGGCATTACAATTTAATAATACATTTTAATATCATCATCATTAACACCCTCTATCTGTCCAATGTTGGACAGTTTTTCCCAATACCTACCACATATCGTGGTCCTCCTGCATCCTTTCTATATACATATAATAAAATTGGAGTGTCTGTAATATCAAAACAAAAAAATCCAGATTTAGGGTACATGATGTTGGTATTTGCGTTGATGATAACAAAAATAGCAATTAAATTTTTTTGTGTCTGTCTGTCTGTACGCAAGCCGCGTTTGTTCCAGCTAATGTCCAAAAGGGCTGGACCGATTTCTACCGGACTTTCACTGAAGGGTAGCTGACATTAACGGGCGTAATATAGGCTATTTATCTTAATATTGCGTGGACAAAGTCGAGGGCAAGCTATTCTAATAATACACGACTTTAAAATAACATTTCTAGTAACAACATGACTACGACTCTAAATCTATTTATTGTACATGGTACTAATATAAATTTAGAACGAAATTCCATTTAGTCACCAATTATCATATACAGAGTGCTAAATGATCACCTTTATAAGTAACAATAAACAACTACTTACGCCAGTGTGATCTCAAAACTATTACAATGATGGCCACTGTAAGTGTTTTTTTTTTCATATTTAACTGTATTACAAATGAGTTAGTTTATTTTTAAAGTTATTGAGGCAATTTATTTAATGCATTATGTGTAACTTTGCTATGAGTAAAAATAAATATTACTAAACATAGTTCAATAACTTTAAACTATTATTAAAAATTAATTCGATAGTTTTTGCATTTATCATTAAAGAACTTGAGGTGTGTTGGCAACACTGAAAACTATCTAACTCACAGTTTAAATTTTGGCTACACGATTTAATGGAACAAAGCGACTTCTCAGTTATAACTAAGTACATAAGTCCGCTAACAACTCAAAGTACTTTAAAAACGCCCTTAGAATCGAGTTATAATGCTAAGTTTACGCATTGATTTCCCTCAGTGATTAACATCTCTGAGTTGTTCTGTAACGTACAACTTACATATGTATCTTTATTTTTATTTCAGGTTAAATTCTTTCAATGGTTTCTAACTAGCACGATCGTTCTTTTAATATTACTCCAATATGCTAATTCAACAAGGAACAATAGTGATGAAGTTCAATATAAAAGAAATTTTAAAGATAATCCTATCAAAGACTTATTATTTTACGGAGATCAAACAGATAAGGCTGGAAAAACACACATCATAATTAAAAGGCAATCGGACAAATGTAAGTATTACCATTTTTATCAATGTGTATACTCTATACTTTTACATCGGTTAATCTTTGTCGCCTCATAGCATATTTCGAGGTATTAAATGCAATATTTTTAAATTCCAATGCAATAATATCCATTTATATGCGTTATTTGCTCCGGGTAAATATCCTCTTTACCGTTTACAAACAAGTTTTGGTCCCCAAAGTGAAAAAGAAAAAATTACATCTAACAAATAACTACTTGAGCAAAGGCTACAAACATAAAAATAAAAAACTTATCCAATCTCTTAATAATGTTCAACCAATCTTTGTCATAATGGCAGATAAGAGATTTTTCATATTCTAAAAGAGATTTTTTTTTTATAACATAAGGTGACAAACGAGCAAGCGGCCACCTGAAACCGCCAAAATGGCGAAGCGACCGCTGCCCATAGACATTCGCAATTGCAGATGCGTTGCCTACCCTTATACGACGGAGGAGGAGACGCATATAAAGAGGATATTTCCCCTTCCTATGCATCTCCTCCACCGTCAAATCCACTTCCTCTTCCCAACCTCTCCTTATAAGAAAAGGGTGGTAAAGAGAAAGGGACTTAAATTAGGCCTCCGGCACCACACTCATCAAACGAAACACGGAATTGCTTCCATTTCACGCCTATCTTCTGTGTGGTCGTGGTATTACACCGGGCGTGCCGGCCCATTCGTGCTAAGATGTTAAAGCGGGCACTACCACTGTTAAAAGAGATAATTCATTTACATTTAAGATGAGAACCATTGATAGTTCGAAGGTAAATAGCTAAAGTTTTAAAATTTTGAAAAGCCATAAATGTAAAGTAAGATTTTTTTGTTTACCCTTTATTTTCGTAATAACAATATTGTCTGAGAATTTAATTTTCATCGTGAATTTTTTACTACTAAATAATGAATGTTAATCAAAAGAATCAATTGAAATGTATTTCTTTTTTTAGATCGTTACACCCCGCGTCCCCTACCATTACCTATATTAGTTGGAGGAGGTGGGATTGGAGGATTTGGTAGAGTAGTTGGAAGAGGGTTTGGTGCAAGAGGTCCTCCCGGTAGAGGATTTGGGTCCAGATCTGTCGGAGCTAGAGGATTTGGCGCAAGAGGGTTGGGAGGACGAGGAATAGGCGGACTTGGTGGAAGAGGTCGAGGATAATAAACTAGGAATATTCTGTTTTAATAAATCATTCATAAACTTGTAATTAATTTTAATGGTTTTACATTAAAATTATAGTTGTTTAGTTTCTTCTTTTTTTTTCATTTACATGTTGATAAAAAAGGTACAATACAAAATACAAACAATAAAAGTAAGAATAATATTTATATAACTGTAGATATAAGCTTAAAAGACTAGAAGCTAATGCAACTAAAAATAATGTTTAAACTACTGTCAATGTCAATAGCAAAAGTCAGTTTGACTTGTGCATGTGCCAATCTGTCAACGTCATACATGAACGTTCTGTGAAAAACCTTGTCTTTTCTTTGCTCACATTAAAATTCTTTACTGATCTGTCTGTCGGCGACTTTTGTAATTAGTTGGTTCGCGAAGTGCAAAAGTGGTTAGTGTTTCTGCGGTGCGCTTAAATTCATGAATATTAAAATAATTTTGCTTTTTCGCTTTTCAATGAATTTCTCACATTGTGATTTTGTGATTAAATAGTGTTAGATATTACTTTATCTTACGAGGAATTAACATAATTTCACTATAAAGAACAACTTGAAGGTAAAATATTATCATGTTACAGTGTAAGCCGGTTTTAATAAATTATATTTCTTTACTCAATAGCAATTCTCGATTTCAGATGGAGGGTGCATATGATGAAATAATATCAGATAATCCTTTTTTTATGGAACTGAGAAATGAATATACAAATTTATTTCAACATTGTATTACGCACTCTTGGATAATTTGCGTTCCTCGTATCGGGAGTCTAAATACTCGTGTATTCACAATAGAGGACTTTGGGGCGCACATTTTAGTACCTAGCGAAGAACTTCCAGAAACTCATTATAGTACATTAACAGAGAAACAAGTTACAGTCAATAATAAAGTAATTACTTTAGAACTAACTAAAGGTTTGCCTCTTCAAAGTCATATACTTTTTGAAGAAACATTTTATACTGAAGACTTCATTAAATATAAAGTGTGGTGTATAGAAAGTTCTCTAGAACCCACTACAACCACAGGTGACAATGTTGTTACTAAAGATTGTCTTGTCTCTATAAATGATTGCATTGACCTGCTATGGACACAAGCAGCTGGTCGCCAAGTTCTTGATCAAATAGAACTAAATGTGCAAATATTTCTAAAGAAAAATCCCACTTTACCTATAGCTATTGGAACACTCAAAGAAGCAATCAGTGAACTTTACACACAGTGCCTGCAAACAACATTGCAGAATCGAAGACTTCGTGAGAAATCAAAAGCATCTAAACATATATTAGATAATATAAAGTTAGCTGTAGAAAGCTACATGCAACATCTTTTGTTTGACACATTATTCAAATCAATATGTACCAGTTGTGCCTATGAAGATTCTCACTTGAATAAAAAAATAAGAAACATGTCAGATATCCAGCTTAGAGATTTGGAAATTAAGAAAGAACTATACCATGCTGTACCAAAGGCAAAGCAGATACTATCCAAGATTGATTCATATAATACTTCTTTGGAAAAAATACTTTGTCTGAAACAAGCTTTAAATGCTGTCAATAAAATTGATAATACCAATAATGTTATACTTTTGACTGCAGATGATCTTTTACCTGTTTTTGTATTTCTTCTTATCAAATCTGGTTTACCTACATGGTACAGTCAACTTACTTATATGAAGGAATTTCGCTTTAGCTGTGTTGGTAAAGGTGATGGTGATGAAAGTTCTTTTTTAATCACCACACTTGAAGCTGTTATAGAGCACATACAATCTGGTGCCTTAGCTGGTCCTCCTGACCCTGAATCTTATTACTACGAAAGTAACCTTACTGAAGAAAATTTACAAGACAATAAACAAAGGAGAAGTAGCTTGACAGAGTCTATTACAACATCAGAAACCAACTGCAGAGAAGAAACACTTGAATATGTGTTTGAGTTAATTAAAGCTAATCATACAGAACAAGTACAAGAAATATTAGAAAGAAATCAGAGACATTTAAAAAGCATTCAACAGAATGAAAAAAGCATCCTTAAGATAGCATTAGAAGAATCATTAAACAACAATGATTTAGATGATGAGGATAGTAATAGTGATACAGAAATATACCAAAAACTTTGTCATCCATTGTGCAATTGTAAAAAATGTTGGTTCAAAATCTCAAAGAATCTATTAAAGACATCTCCAACTATTTCATCGAGAGACAGTCATGGTCTTACTCCGTTGCATGTTGCTTGTATCCACGGGAAAGCTGCAATAGTAGAAATATTATTAGAAATGGGTGCCGATGTAAATGCCACAGATCTTAATGAATGTATTCCTTTGCATTATGCCGCTTCAAGAGGACATCAAAATGCACTTCTATTATTATTACATTCTGGAACTAATATTAACTATCCAAATGTGGATAAAAACACACCTCTGCATTTAGCAGTAAATAATGGACATTTGAATTGTGTTAAGGCATTAATTTATTTCGCAGAGCATGGTAGAAAGAAAATGAGAATAAATTGTGTTAATGAAGTTGGAAATACACCTTTACATTTAGCATCCAAATGGGGATATGAAGGGATTGCTCGGCTGTTGATAGAGAATGGTGCCGAACCAACATTACAGAACAAGAATAACAAAAGTGCGTTTGATTACGCTCATAACTTAAGAATTTTACATGTCCTAAAATCTTCTACACCAACATTATTTGAATACATTCACATAACAAGTTCTGATATTAAGAAATTAAATTGTAAATCTGACGATTCTGAAATCCTTAAATTGGGAAAATTAAGCTTTAAAAATAGAGACATCAGTAATAATGCTTCAAAAGCGGTGGAGAATTTGAAAAGAATTGATAGAGTATTACAGGCAATTACCTATGGTGACATCAAACTTGCTTGTTTCTATTTAAATATTGACTATGAATCAAATACTGATAACAGACTCGCTTCTAAAGGACCACTCTGCCATCCACTATGTGAATGTCAATTTTGTAAGAAACCCCAACCTCAAATATCAGATTTTGATATAAATTTTGCGGATACAAATGGTTTTACAGCATTACACTATACAGCACGATTTGGTATGGACGAATTATGCAAAATATTATTAAATAACAAAGCTGATGTGAACTGTGTTAACAAGAAAGGACAAACTCCCTTGCATCTGGCTGCTATGTACAATAAAACAACTGTTATCACTCTGCTTCTCGACAATGGAGCAAATATAAACTCTATTGACGCAGCAGGAAGTACAGCTTTGCATAATTCTAGTGATATGGGCAATATTGGAGCGACCAAAGCACTCCTAAATTATAACCCAGATCTATCTTTACTGGATGTTACCGAAAAATCAGCTTTAGATGTAGCTAAAAAGAAAGTCCATTTAACTATAATAGATTTGATAGAAAAATATGCAAATAAATTAGATAAAAATAAATAAAGCCTGCATTAACATTAAAGATTAATTAATAATTAACTGTTAGTTACTAATATTGTTATTGATTCTTATTAATTGTTAACATTCCATTGACATGATTTTGTTGCAATATAACTAATTATTAAATACTAATAGAAGAGTCGTCACTAAAAAGTGCCTTAGTGTATTTATGAGTGAAATATAAACAACTCCTAAGTAAAAATGCTTAAATGGCTTGCCTTAACTATATGATAAGATGACACTATTCTTGAATCTTTAATTTTTCGATCACGAAATCTTGGCCATTTTAAGTACTTATGTTTAAGTCTATAATACGTATGTAAAGTTCTTTTTTTATTTAGTTTATAAAAATTGTTTTGTTTTTACAGCACAAATGTTTTTCTGGTTTTTGTGTTTATGTGCCATAGACATCATCCAATTATTAATAAGACTGATTTTATGTATCACACACTAATTATAATGTTTTTACAACTTATTGTATTTTTATGTTTTCTTTTGTATCCTTATTTCAATATTTGTACAGTACTATTTAAAATATGTGATATATACCATGACATTGTAAGGACATTATAAAAAAAACTATACTTTGTTTATTTTATAATGAAAAATGGTGGCATTTTTTTAAATATATGAGGTAATAAGCATGTAATACAAAATAGATTTAGTATATTTTATTAAAATAAAATTTGTATTTCATCTCTCTGATTTTTTATTTAGAGAACCAGTATGTAAAACAATATATTTCTATATACTATGATTTATATAAAATTGTAGAAATATTTACATTTCATATATGATGTTCTAATTATATCAAATCCTTTACTTAATCATTAGTTAAGTTATAATTTTTACATTTAAAGTTATACCAAGTAAAATACGATGTTTTACAATGCATTTTATTAGCTTTATAATGTAGGAACACAATATTATTAAAATAAACACTAGAAAATAAAAACAATTTTAAACAATTGTGACTATTAGGCTTTCTATATACATATAAATGAACAGTTTTATAGTTAATTCATTTTAACTAATTTTTTAGTTTAATATAAAATATTTTGCAATAAATATCAATATTAACAAAAATAAATAAAACCATCATCAAATCATGATGATTGATTTATTTTTTTAGTAATATGTTTTAAAAGTAGCATGTGTTAAAATAAAAAAAAAAATATTTTTGTAGTAAAAGAACTGTGTTAACAAATTAAGCATATTAATTTCTATACAAACAAGCCAAGTCTGACGTCATAACGTGCTTGTACAGTGAGCAAAAAAGTGTACACCAAACATATTACAAGACAATCTTATTTATGTTAAACATCGTCGCCCACTGTACAAGCGTCGCATACCTTAGACTAAACTATCGCGAAACTGTTTTGTCGATTGTCTATTGTTCCGCACCCCATTCAACTGTTTAGTTGCAAAACTAAAGATCGAGTAGTGTGCGCACCTCCGTATCTCATAGGATCAAGGCGCGACTAAACAGTTGTGCGATAGTATAGTCAAAGGTGTGCGCGCGCTCTAAACATATTTATTGTGCATACATTTAACATTACATCTAACTATTAGAACTAATCACTTGACAAATAATAATTACATCAGATTATCACATCAATTGCCATTATCGTAATCAAATATTTATTAATAAACTGACCTTTACATATCTAAATAATAAAAAAAGCATATATTATTTTAGTATTATTAATACATTAACATAATAAATACCAAACAAATGTAAAACCGTACGCTTTAAAACATATTTCAAGCTTTCGAGTATTTTTAAAAAATACATTTTCAAATGACAAAAACAAAAAAATATATACGGATGTCACAGTTATTTAGCATTGTGCAGTTATGTATTTGTAAACTATGGTTTACTTATCTTACATCTAAAAATAATAAAACTTAGTAAAAAATGTCTTGAAATCTCCGGGTTTCCGTCACATTACTTTATAACGGTTACTTACTAGAATATATTTTGAACCGTTTATTGAATAAGATGTTTACTTAATTTAAAAAATGTAAAAAAAAACATTTGTGCGATAAATTGACATGGTTTATTTAGCTTCAATTCCATAAACAGATGTAAAAGTAAAATATGAATCTCCATATTCATCCATACAAATGTGAGACTTATTTAAAATTTTATTTTGGTCCCATATTGTCTACATTTATTTAAATAACTCGAAATCCGCTAATATGTTACACAAGTATATATAAATAGAAAAGAGGTGACCATACTCTGTCAGGAAATATAAAAGCCAGTGCCATATTGCGGATAAATAACGAATTTAAAAAACCTTGGTTACCTTTTTTTTACTGTACCCAATTTGTTAAATGTTTTTGTACAAAGATGCACTTAAGAGAGTAATAAAGAAATCTATTGAAATGCCCCAGCTAGGATTTTCATATTCTTAGTTAGGTTATAACAAAAAATATTTTTCTTATAGAAAAAAGTAAGTAAAGTAAAAAAAAGTAAGTAAAATATAAGTAAAAATTTCTTTGAGTAAAAAACCAAGTAAAAAACCAAGTGAGTGAAAACTAATAAAAGGTAGAAAAAAGCTAAGTAAAAAACCACTTAAATAAATTAACATAACGGAATATTCATTTTGAAATTGAGAAAATAGTAATTTAGTGTTAAATAAAAAATAATAACAAGATATTAAAACACACTATCCTAAATCATTACAATATTCTTATATAGCTTATGAAAAACTGCTAGTAAATGTTTATTCAAACTGTACATTATATTGACTATTTGTATATTAATAAAAGTATGTACAATCTTTATAAGTATCTTACTTACGAATAAATTCTTTGTTTCTAATAACAACAATATATTACTCTGATTTGTGCCTTATCACTGTGGTGGTAAAGTCCATATTGGCAACTCCTCTTTCTTCTTTTCCTTCTTTTTATAAAACCTATCTCGTAATCTAACGTCATCTTGCAACCTTAAATTAGGCGATTCGCTTCGCCAATCGACAATTTTCTTCGGCGACGTTTTATATCTATGAAACCTTTCTTCTTTCTTTTCATCGAAATATATTCTACTTTTTATGAACAGATCATTTTTATCTGGATCGGATATTTCTTGTGGTTCGATATCGTCTGTGAGTTCGCATACATCGTCTCTGTTGAAGGCGAAGGAGTGCGGGTAGTACGCCTGTAGGATATCTTCTTGTCTGAACTGTTGCATTTGTACCCACACATGTGGTAATAATAATGGAAACCTACGTAACCAGTACGTCACAAATCCGTCCGGTAACTTCCCTAAGCTATCACGCACTTCACTATCCAACTCTCTGTAGTGATGTTTCTGGAAAACGAAAACATGACTAGTAACAAATTTAATTTCGTGTAACTTATTGTTGACTAAACGATTCATTAAATTTTGTCAATAAATTTTACTTATATGACTAAAAAGCAAATTTTTTCATTATAATATTTTTATAGATAAATCTATTTTCCATGTTATATTAGCGTTTTTCATTGTATTCCACTAATCATTTATGTATATAAGTGAAGAAGGACCTTAGTTATGAGTGTGGAGGCACACCGGTAGACTTAGACATAGAAAGTGGAGCGATGACTGAGATGACGTATGACAAAGTTATTTGGAGGACGAAAACCCGGTGTGACCACTACGAGAGTAGGATAAGATAGGAAGATGATGATGTATGTAGTGTGTGAAGTACCTTATTACGTATAGCCCGCAGCAGATGAGCGACGCGTTCGCCGCGATATGTGCGTCTCGCTCGCAGGTCCCCCGCCACCGGTGCGCTGACGTGCGCGCGCCAGTCGCCGCGCACCACGCGCCGCGCGCACATCTCCAGCGGGTGCTCTGCGCCCGCGCACGAACAACTCTCCACTTGGTCACTCACGTCCTGGAATGTTACTTTTCATTAATTATCAATTATTTATATACATTTCTCTCCCTCGCTTCCTGAATACTGTCTAATATAGTAGTGGTGTAAGCTTACGTTGTAAGTTTGTCTACATAGTTGCATATGCCACGCTAGTATTATAGCTCTCATATAACTTGGTGGCTCTTAAATTAGTATAGCGGGATGTGAGGCGAGAGCACTGCACATCGTGCAATTACCTTTGGGCCGCCAAAATATTTGAAAAGCTTTACACTAGAAGCTATGTTTAATTTAGGTTAGATTGAGGGAAACATAAAAAATATAACAATGAAATAGGCAACGGAGTATATCGTTATTTTAAATATTACTTTTAGCAACCCCAGAAGAAAGCGATAGATGATATTTCTGTTGGATATTTTTATATCTCTAAGATTAGAAGTTTTCCTATATCCATAACTAAAAAAAATATTTTTATTTATTGTTATAATTAATTTAAGTAATATGTAACCTGCAAGAAGTTGAGTATGGACTGCTTGCCCCAGAACATGGGATACTTGAGCACGGTCTCGCAGGGCGGCCTCAGCTGCGGCCGGCTGGAGATCATCGCTCGGATCAGGATCTTTGTCACTACTAGTTCCTCCTCGGGCAACGTTTTACTGGAAACACATCATTATAACTGTAATTAAATGCTAATATAGACTTTTTGTGGTCTTTTTACAAGTTCATCACCAACTCATTACACGTCCCCACTGAGGAGCTCGGAGCCAACCCTAAGTTAGAGTGACTAGGCCATAGTCAACCACGCTGGCCCACTTCGGGTTGACTTCACACATATCTTTGAATTTCTTCGACGATATATGCAGGCATCATGATATTCCTTCACCGTAAGAAATTACATATGAAAATCGAAAATGACATTGGTACATGGAGGAACCTAGGACCTATGGATTACAAGTCAACCACTGAGCCACTGACGCTCTTTCACAGGTTACATTTTTAGATTACCTAGTAATCACTGTCTAGTACGAGATACACTAATATTGTTTGTGAGAGATTTTGATTCTACCCTCAAATGTAGTAGAGCATAAAATATAGTGTCTTACTCTAGATGTTGCAGGCTGTAGTCCGCTGTGAGTATGTTGGCCTGTCGACGCAGCACGTCTCCGAAGGGATGCTGACCACCGGACAGCACGTAGTAGAACACGCAGCCCAGCGAGAATATATCCACAGATGTCGTCTGTAATACAATTTATATTACATTCAAAAATTATTCAATTATTAGCTTTCGAAGTGACTTCGTCTGTGTGGGGAATAAATATCATGATTTATTCAACTGTTTTGGAAATACATAAATATCCTTCCATACAAATTTCTCATTTACATTAATAAGATATTATGAATTATAATTTCTTGGTAATACAGTTTTGTTAAAAGTAACAGTTAGCAAAATGGTAAATTGGCCACTATGGGAAATTTTATCACCAATATTACATTTGTAAAATTACTGCCATAACACTTCTATTAAAACATCGTTGCCTATTATTACAAACAGAATATAAGGGATGACAATATTTTCACATAAAGAAAATCAAAATAAAACTGACATAAACATCAATTAGACAAATAATCTAATATTAAAAATAAGTAAGTTTGTATGGATATTTGTTTGAGTTTGTAGCCTAATCGCAATTAAACTCGACGAAATTTGACTTAGATGTAGAGGATAGTTTGGAAGAACACATAGGCTAGTTACTTTTTTATTTTCTAAATTCTAAGACAGAGCCAGGAGGTGAAGTTAGTAGTTACTATTACTAGCTTCTGTAGCTCACCGTTCTCTCTCCATTAATCATCTCCGGTGCTATCCAGCCGTCAGTGCCGGTGACGCCGGAGCGCCGCGAGAAGCTCACTCGGCCGATGTTCAGCTTCTTGGAGAGGCCGAAGTCCGAGATCATGGCGCGCACCTCGCCTGACCCCGTCGGCATTGAGAGTAACACATTGTGAGGTTTCACATCTCTGTGTACTGAAAAAAAAATATTTGTGAAATTTTTAATTGCAAATGTCAAAATTACCGTTACCATAATAACCTTGCTTTCTTAACGTTGGTAGCTTGTCGTTTATGGTCCCTTTCGTGAAAATATAAAGCCTAATAAAGCGTGTCGTAAGTGTAGGGCCTTTTTATTTAAAAAATAATTATTCAAAAATATGCTGTGATTGCTGATATCCTACACCACGAAGAAGTGTGTGTTTACTATTCATTATATTAGTATTGATGTACATTTCGGCAATGGATAGATTTAATTAAAGTTTGTACGTAACTTTGATTGAAAGCGTTAAACCCCGCCCCCTTTCCCCCTCCCGTTAACAGTCAAACTTTTTACCTTAGTAATTTTAGTCTTTGTCATATTGTAAATGTACAAGTTTTGACGGATTGGTGGATATTAGTTACTACGTATCTCTAAAACAACTTAACGGATCTTGATGAAATTTAACGTAGATGTAGAATATAGATTTAAAGAAGACATATACTTACTAAGTCTTTTTTAAAATTCCATACAGACGGAATCGGGTGCTAGAACTAGATTTACATGTAGTATGCAACTTGATTCACGTTTTTTGAACGATTTTTATAAGTGTCAATTTAAAGCTAAGTTAATATCATCTATCCATACCTATGTCCATAGAATGCAGATGTGACAGTCCCAACGTTGCCTGACGCAGTACTTCCACAGCATCTATCTTACATTCGAAATTTAATTTCTTCTCAACATAATCCTGTAAAGTCGCTGAACATAGCTCCAACGCTATATACCTGAAAAAGATCTTTGTTACAGTTTTAAAAATATATAAAAAAATATTTAGATATACAAAACTCCATTAAGCATTACCTGAATTGTTTATCCCGTTCTGTGCAATAATAACGTACAACGTGCGCGTGCGCATCCGATTCTCTAAGCAGCGCCACCTCGCGGTCCGCGAACGTAAAGCACTCGGGTAACAACCGCTTTACTGCCACAGCGCGCTTGTCGAACATACCTCTGTATAACATAGACCATGAAGTATTAATAACGATGAGATATCATCTTAACTCTAATTTTAACATATATTAATATTCCTTTTATTCTTTAAAAAAATGAGTTTTAAACAATGTTTTCCCGTTAAGAGGTCCTATCCATACCTATATTTGCGAGAAGGAATTCGTAACGCTATCTTGAAAGTTTGTATTAGTTTTTTGCCGGACCCCTACCAGGTGTAGTATATCTTATTGATGTCGTTACGACAGCTTTCTCGCAATACGTGATAAGCCCTCAGGAGACATTTCACTTATTTAGTTATGATAATTTTAACAAAACTTTAAATATCAACATATTTATTATTTCATGTTAATATTGATGTATTTTAATACTATTAAACTTAAATTCTACTAAGTACAAAAAGTTTAAAATGTTTATCGTTCCAGTACGATGGTTCTTAGCCCGCATTGCATTAATGATATATGAAATTGAGAGCAGTAACGGTAATGTGGTACATTTATGAATTTAAATAAAAAAATCGATTCATTCTAACGGAAAGTGTAAGTTTCCTTCAATGTCGGCTTAAAAACAAGCACAAAAACCTATAGTCGGTTTTACAGTTTTACAAGAAGGCGGATATTGATTCGATTTCAAGAAAACATAACTATATATCAAATAAGGAAGCTTTTTATCAAACGTATAGTGAAACTAGATTAATAAACATATTTAGTTCTAAAGATTAGTGTTTTCAAAATGCATATAACTTTAAAAACCTTTCAGAATAGGGATAGGGAATCCTTCGGAATAGGAAAAAAAAACGATATCTATACTTCTATACTGATATAGTAAAGCGTAAACACACACTACTATGTGTCGTAGGATGTCAGTAATCACAGCAGATTTTTGAATAATTCTTTCTTTAACAAAAAGTCCTACACTTACGACACGCTTTAGGCTATGTATTTTCAAGCTGTGGGAAAGAGACCATACACTACAAACTGCCAACATCAAGGAGGGAAGGTTGTCATCGTTTTATTGTCATGTCATTTTGAAATTTGATAAATGTAAGCAATAAAAGAAAATAATTCATGCCGATGAAGCCGCACGGGAACAGCTAGTTTAACAATAAATGCCATTATCACACTTTTTCCATTATAGATCGCATAGTCTATTATTACGTAGATAATTGTCTACATTTCAAAGAGAATTTACAATGCATTCAAGGTCGAACATAGTCGGGTCATATTTTATAAAACACGCAAATGTATGTGACATTGAAACTATGTGTATGTACCGTGAAATATGTTGTGTAAACGTCTCTATACGTAATAAGTCAACGGCCTATGAACACGATGTGTAAAGAAACATTCGCCAATGTTTGTACTACAGAGTTATCGCTTCTAACTTTGATTCCTAGAGTTAAACCATCACGATTGAAATCCAAAACCGAGCAAGTGCAATCCAAAAAAAAAATATTTTTCAAAGTTGACATTTTACAATAAGTCGAGATTCCAAAACCGAATGCACAATAAAACATCGAGAGCGGTCTATAGACATAAAAAGAATATTATAATATAATGTTTCTAAATCTATATGGAAATATTTATTTTACTAACAAAAATTATTAACACCTAATCTTATGTCAATTGACAAATAAATTAGATACAGACCACAAAGTTCATGATCACGTAAAAGTCAATAACTAAAAGATAGATAAAATTATTTAGGAAATACTCAAAATATCAAAAATCAATAAAACCAACCTGTAAACAAACGTTCCTTCACATCCCTTGCCCAACACTTGATCTGTATGGAAAGTTATTTTCCCAATACGAATTTCTCCATCCCCTAAATCCATAAGCTGACCCGTCACCTCGCCTTGAGAAGACGCATTTGACACTGTGGAGCCACGAGAACCGCCTTGAGATAGTTGCTGAAACTCTCTAGCCTGGAAACAAACGATTAAATATAAATACCAACCAAAAATTATACTATAGCGGAAATTAGGTCATACTTAAAACGCTATCATAGTTTAGAAGCATTAACGCAAATCAAGATATGTCTCAATATAAATGTTACAAACGATGAGATAACAGGTACAGATAATACATACATAACACAAAACAATATCGGTATCTACAAATAGCAATAAACAACACATATTTAAACGTTTTCATTCCTCAAAGACATCCAACAAAATCGAGATGTATAAGAGTTTTCAAACTGAAAGCTACAACGGTGCTTTTAATATTCGCAAGATTAAGAAACACAACAGAAAAAACGGGCCTAGAGATAATGAAAATCAAAATCAACAGAAAAACGCACTGATGTAGATCACACTAATATTAAATGGATGGATGTTCGTTAGAATTTGTAGCTTAAATGGCTGAACGAATCTAGATGAAATTTGACAAAGATGTAAGACAGTCTGGAACACATACGCTACTTGCTTTTGTTTTTTAATTCCATGCGGACAAAGTCGCGAGCGAAAGCTAGTTACAGACATATGTAACGATTATATCCAATTGAAAGTAGTAAAAAAATACGTAATTAACAAAAAAAATTGCATTAATCACTTTACTATGTGATAGCAAACGTCAAACGTAATGAAATTACCAAGCAAATACACTTCGCCGGCGCTGAAGAACATGCGAAGGAAATTGGCGTGTAATTGTTACACTGAAATGACGAGAATTCCAAACAAATTGTAGCGCGAATTGAACTTTGTTAACAAATCTCCAAAGGCCTAAAAACTTTTTAAAACACTCTGAAGTTAACCACTGGACATAGGACCACGTAGGGCTTCATCAATAATGGCCATAAAGTTCCATAGGAATTGGCAGACGATAATCTAGGCTTGGTTTGAGGCAACCATTAATATAGTCCTGTTTGAAGTGTTTTTTATCTGTTTTACATTTTCGATTCTCTAGGGGGACAACTGTTCCCTTTTATGCCTGGTATTCTGTCCACACATCTACCATACTCCTTATAACACTTGTTAATTTCAGTTTGACATGATTTGTTATTCCGCCATCTCACCTTAGTGCCAGACTATATTTAGTGGCCACAATTAATATGCAACACTATAAATGTAAAAAGTTACACCCGCTATATGAATGTAACAAACTTCTATTTTTGGTTGTAAAGACGCGTCTCTAATCTATAATTTCTTACAGACTTTAAACAATTCACTTTTATGGTATTGGTAAGCCATTGAACTCTACTGTCAAGACGAAAAATCGATGTATGTTTTGTTGTAATTTGACTTTACAAGATAAAGTTTGGTAAAAAGCAAGTCATGCTAACTAAATATAACTATGTAGACTCATCAATGATTCATACAAAGAAATAATTATCTTATGAACGTTTACAGTATTATAATATGGTGAACAAATGTCTATGTTAGCGACACATTTGAATGGGCAGTCCGATCGATATTACTTTCTTTTGCCCTTGGCCAGACTTTAATGACACTGCGTTGAGTATAAAATATGTACTTACACAAAATACAACAATAATGCGACATAAGCAAATATGTTATTTAAAAAACGTAACTACTAAAAACTCAAGAGAGAAATCGAAATTATTAACCAATACTTAAATACATTACAAATTGTTACTACGTATGTATCTCGAAACCGACTAATCGGATCTTTCAGAAATTGTGAATACATAGAATATAGTCTGAAAGTACAAATAGGCTGTTTAGATGTTTTTAATTCGATCGGTCGAAGACGCGGGTAACAGCTAGTAAAAATATCTAATAAGTAAAAATATCTAAACAGCTAGTAAAAATATATAATTGTCAATTAAAAACTTTGCATCAGCCTAATGAAGCGTTAAAGCATAATTAGATAAGGCTTCTAGGTTTACTGCGTACTATTTTCTAGAAACGTCTCAACTAAACCATGAGGCTCCAATGCCAATAGGTTAACGTCCAATGACTCACGTACCGCGTGGTAGTCTCTTGCAACTATAATGGTTATGAATTAATAAGAAAAAAGTTAAATTCCCACGACATTTAAATAACATTAGAAAGAAACAGAAAACGATATCAAGTCCATATAAATTTTTTATGGAAAATGCTTAAACAGTTTTACAAAGGATTGTACAATGTCATAAAACATCTTGTTAACTCTACATGTTTCTAATACAATGCAAACATAGAAAACGGTCTAGCCGTTCACTCGTGATGCCGTGACCAAGGGAAATATTGATTAAATTTTATATAGGTTCAAACTCTTAATACCTTTTTATCGATATTATCTATGGTTAAGATATTAAGTTACATAGTTCGAATGTATTATATCAATTCAAATCTGTCATATAGATCAACAGAACGGACATCCCAACAGCAGATAAAGTTACTTATAATTAGCTTTACGCCCTTATATAAACTGCTTTTATCTAATCGCAACAGCCATGTGGTTGCATAGCATGATTGGAAATTAATACGTCACAAAATTATTAACACACATCTGGAAACATTAAACAGTTTATTTTGTGTATGATACAGTGATCATACAAAAAAATCAATCAAAGTAACTAACCATCGATGTAATGAGATACTAATGGTAATTTAAAACTTTAAGGGCCAGTCCTACCACTGGCTGATAGGTCAGAGAGCTTTAAAATGACGTCACTGTCAGATAAGGGAATAAAATATTTCCATCACACATTTTACACGTTGGATTGTTCAGACAGTTTACAACTTGGCGGGACAGGTCCTAATTAAAATAAAAGCAATTGTAAAAATAACTCACCTGATATCGAAGGTACCAGAACATAGCGACGACCAATCCCATGAGTACAATCAGCGCTACTTTGAGAGCTTTGTTCTCCTGCTGATTAATCCACACATGAGCCTGTTTATACCACACATCCGGTCTAAATACAAAGCCTTCAAACAACTCATCAGTCTGTACCGACACTGATACAGAATTAGATTTTAAATTAGTCTCATTTTCCACGTCTTTTTCGCTCTCAGAGTGCATCCGTCCGTTTATTAACTTCATTCCATTAATATGACGCTCTGGTACTTTTAGGAAATTCGCTGTTGGTAATTGAGGCATCCAAGACGTGATCAACTCTGGCACTTTATAATGTCCTAGTAAAAGATATGGTGGAGATACATGGAGATTCAAATCGCTGAGCTTGTAGTGTATATTTGGAAAGGGTTCGTAAGTCGGAGGTTCTGTACTGGCTTGTATTTCAGCGACTGGTCCTTCGAGTAGGAGAGGGTGGGTGTAACCAGTTGATATGGTGACCGTGTTCTTGTCTACTAGAGAGGAGAGCGCATAGAGACCATGGTTGTGCTCTCCTATGTACAGAGTAGGGCTGAAATAGATTTTGGTGTTAACACAAAGAGGTAGTTCATCAAAGGTGGTACTAATAATTCATAAATTAGATTTAGGATTATGGAGTTTTATTTTGCCGATCACTCCTTGTAATTTATTTTATCAATTAAGTTGACTTGAGATAAGATAATAAGATGGATTTGTTTTCCCGTGACTTGATAAACAAACATGATTAGGTCTTCCTATTTAATAATTCCAATACTCTTTTCAAGAAAATAATTTGATTGTTTACAGAGATTAAATAGTCTACCGTTTTCGCTAAAAATGCTGTAAAATAAACGCTATAATCCAAGCATGACTTATCGCCTTCAATACGCACATTGCACAAAACGTGCGCGATTATAATTGATAATGTCTATGTAGACAATTACGATAAAAACCCCTATATACAAAAACAGGTTAGTTAGTTCTCTCCTACAAATTAAATGCAAATGTATAGTATTTACTTACTACAATTCAATATTAGAATTCTTAATTCCTTGTCCATTTCTTAGTGTCGTAGCATCTTCCATAATATGATCTAACGTGTCATCGCCAATGGAATTGAAAGGGACAGAGATCAGTCCCTCTCTATCTAACAAATAGGCTGCCACGACTGGAGTCTCCAAATTATGAGACCAAACTAAGTCACCAGTTTTTCGGTCGAATGACATTATTCGACCATTTGAAGTTGATGTGAAATGAATTATACCTTAAAAAAAAGTTGTAGAATAAACCTAATTCCATTGTATTCGGTAGCTTAACGTGTATAATGCCAAAGACATTTTAAGTGTTCAGTTATATTAACAACCAGTTGTTGCTCGCGACTTCGCCCGCGTAAAGTTAAAAAAAGCCAATGTTCCTCACAGATAAATCACTTTTCTAACGGTGAAAGAATTTTTAAAATCAGTCCAGTATTTTTGAGTTATGTCAGTACATACAAAAATACAAATCTTTCCTCTTTATAACATTAGTATAGACTTGTACCACTTACCATAATCGTTCAACATCTCTTTGCCCATAGCATGCGAGGTGTAATCATAAAATGTGACATTCCACCTTTGGTTCTCGTTCTTGGAGTCATGCATCAGGATGTTGTACTCAGTTCGTGCTACGTACACACCTCGCCTTTTGTCCGGCTCGCATGTATTATCTTCATCACCCTTAAATATTTTTGATTTATCGAAACCTAAAAATTGTTAATTGAACGTGAATGCTTGAATACATGACAGTTATAGACTTTCAATAGTTTATGTTCTTTTCTCCCTTTTGAAGTATACCTTAGCATTAGAGTTAAATCCCAAATTAACCTACTTTTTGCTGATTAAAAAAAACAATAAAATATACAATGTCTTTATCATCCTTACACCTACATCGGTTATCGCTTTGTAGAAAGATTTGTTTTAATAATACACAGTAATTATCTATACGCAGACGAGCGGAACAGTCGCGAATATTTTTCGAATGTTCGAGGTTATGACCGTGAATTTCCACCGTCTAGACGCTTGTATCAAATATTGCTGTCTCTAGTTTTGCAAAAAGAATGTGAGGGACGACTGTAAGCTTTCATACACGTCTGTACACAATAAAAATACACCTTTACAAACAACAGATGCACCTACGTTTAATGATTAGCAACCAATATTGAAGCATTTAGAAAGTTCTTGAAATATTTAAATACGAGATAAAAGATTTCAATTAAATTTAAAATATTGTTGTTTTAACGCAGCGTATTATCCTTACGGGGAAAATTATATGATGCAATAGTGAAATAATTATAAACATTTGTTAAAAATAGAATTAAATTAAGGTCGACGCGCAATGGTACATTACAATAATGTTATGTAAATGGTCTTTATATGTACAGCAAACAACGACTTGCAAGTTCAGTTTCATACTAAGAATTTAGTAGTGGGAATATATTAAATGTTTAATTAGAACACAGAAAATATCTGTCCCATTACTTCAGAAAACCACTCTCTGTGGTAAAATATTTTAGTACACTAAGTCTCGCTTTAGAATGTCACACATAACAAAGAGAGATTAAATTATGCCCAGTTTGCATTATTCCAGTGCAGCAATCAATATCAGGGATGGATTAAAAATATAAAATCAGTAATTCATCGCTAAGTCCGTCACTGGATTGTCTGTAAACTATGCATATAAGATAAGAATGAAACATACCCGAAATGTGCTCTCTCGAACCGGTTATAGGATCCAGCATGAACCATGTGTCACTCTTCTTCCCCGTGTACAATATTCCATCTGTGGACCTGCAGGGTGCATTTGCCACCAACTCTGGTATAGTAAATGGTAGTTTCTTGAGCATCTGTTTATCTCCTCTCGGTCCATACATGTACAGAGACCCATGGCGAGGATCCGGCAGGAATTGTGGCATAAGGTTTGCATGCTGATTGGGCACCTTCACTACAGGTTCTAAGAAAAGTATAATATATTTATCCAAAGTATGCCATTACATCATAAAACATTTACTTTACTTCTAAATGAAGCGACAACACTATACAATATTGGTTAGTATTATTATTTGGGGTCTGGATTGTTAGATAATATTAGTATTAATAATCCTAATTGAAATTTTATATTTTGATCTGACCTTGACTCATAAATATACTTTTTTATTTAGTTTTTTAATTCAGCAATATTAATTATCTCGATTCCAAAATACATATGATACTAAATAAGTATTAATATTAACCATAAAACTAATTATACTTTTAAATATTTTCGTACTACAATGTAACAGCGGCATTATCAGCACAATACAATGTAAACTGACACTTAAACAATGTATATCAATAAACTTGACCTTGATATTTATTTCAATAAGTAATTAAAAAAAAACAAGTAGCTGTGCAAATATGAAAAGACACTGTCGAAGTTTTGTTATTATGTAGAAGAAAACTGGAATATATTAGTACAAGAATATGACAAACCAATAAGATATTGTTCATATATGGTTATCAGCTATTAATTTATTTAATGCCATTAACAATTCCACTTAAAACTGACTTTAATTTTTACTTAATACAAATTTATAGCTCAACAATTCAAGTTACTGCTGAAAAAATGGTCATATGATTGCATTTCTCACTATAGTCTTAAAAAAAATTACTTTCTTTTAAATCTGTTTTTGCAACTATTAAAAGCTGGAAATATGACATTAAGAACAGGGAATAACAAATTGACGGCTGATAAAGTATAAATAATAAATTAACGGCAGATACTATCTCCCTTGACTTTGGGTCGGCTCCAAGCCCATCAGTGGGGACATATAGTGAGCTGGTGATGGAATGTAGTAGGGAACTAAAATGTAACTTGATATTAACAAAAAAGTTTATTTAGATAAGCCCATGTCTGGCATTAGGGTTCTGATAAAGCTGTTTTAATAACCGACATATGCCTAAGCTGAACTGCAATTTGGAATTACCTCACATGTTGATAACATTATCTGTTAAAAATTTCAAACTTTGTAATTAAAATGTTTATCTATACTAACTAAGGATGAATGCTAATCATTGTTAAATGTATAATAAAAAAAACATTAGAAAAGGGCAGATCAAAGAACCACATCAGTGGTAAAAACATAGCATGTCACAAAATATGTAACCTAACTAATGTTGTCACAATAAGTATGTTAACTCTAAGAATAAATAAACAAATATTATATGCAATAGTAAGAAAAAATGTCTTTTAACAACTTTTACTGCATCAAGGCTGAATCTGGTTTTAGCTAAGATTAACCTTATTTTATTAATTATGTTTTTGATAAACTTGTATTTTTCTAGAATGTTTACTGATATGAACATATAATCTAAAATAGATTATGCTCAGTTACATATTATTTTTATGTAATACTGAAAGCGAATATTTATTTTCTTAACATAAAGTAAACCTTAACTTTCATAGCCTTTCAACTTGTTTTAGTATATCAGAATATTTTATTTTTCCTTAGGGACTTTTAATATTTATATGTTAAATAATAGTTACCATCTTTTAACTTCCATATAATATTTCCTGAAACAGGTTCCACCGCCACCATTCCACCGCCTAAAGTAGCAAACAACAGAGGCCGGTCATCTAAAGCGCGGGATAATTCTGTATTATCCTGTAATTTTCATGTTATTTAGTCAATGATATTGCACATAACACTTTAATATTTCACGATATCACTAGAAAACACTTCACCTTTTTTTCTTTTTCGGCACCAATAGGCCCTCCTAGTCCTATCACCAGCAGTATTATAGTAAGGGACTTCATATTACACGTTATATGCATTAATCTGATGTTTTTAATCCCATTATTTCATTGAAAATCAAACGCTTCAATAACACAAAGACATATTCAACATAAAGAAATCGGGCATACTATTCCATGATTGTTATTGTAAAACAAGTACAAATCGACGCGTGCAAAGTCAGAAATAAAATCCGTGTTGCTTTGTTGCTCTTGCACTTTCCTCATTGCAACGCAAATTGACAAATGTCATCAAGACTGTCATTGCTATTTGTCACATTAACAAATCCAAAGAGTATGTAGTAGTGTAGTTTACTTGGTAATACTTTTATTACAAAAGTTATCGATAAAATAAGATACCGGTTTTTATATTACGGCCTTTCCTTCTTTAATTAAGATTTGTTGACCAAGAGGCTTGCTCTGGTACACCTAGAAGTGGCTATAAGTTAATTATCATAATATTATATTTAATGCATACAAAATTGTGTATCTGTGACCAGTGACACTAGTAATAATAATTGTCAAATCAAACCCAAACGTCAAACGTCTTCGTCTTGATTGAATAAAGTATCTTTTTGTTTCGTTATAGGTAGTATATCTTAACAAAATATTTTAAATATTACTTAAAAGTGCTAATTATCAAGTTCTATGCAACATATGATGTAATCCTAATTTATTCTAAACATCGGTCGAATTATGCAGAATTAATTTTGTTGAAAAATATGGAGGTGTCAGGCGCGGGTATGTTAATTCAGTAACAAAATAATTTCACAATAATTATTATCAATTTTCTTTGTTTCATTTAAGTAATAGAAACATTGTTGATATAGTAATACGCTTGTAATAATTTTATGCCAATATTCCTTTGAATTGTTACTTTGACAACACACAAAGTAAACAATATTTCAACGCCTTGTAAAATTTTTACGAAGACTTTATTTTTTTTTTTTAATTCATGTGTGGATTGCTCTCCTGGCTATATCTAAAGCTTATATGCACAAATATAAAATGTGGAAAAGAGTATTAGATTTTCAATAAATATTGTAATCCTTAAGTATCTAAAGTAGTGTTTTAATTAGTTCAAAAACTTTGCTTCTCTTACAATTTTATATTTTTATGAAAAAAAAAATAAACGATAAGACATTTTAAAATATCCAATTGGACAATAGGTAGTTAGAATGTGTAATGACCCTTATCTAGAACAAACAAAGCCACAATAATGAGCTAATTTTGATTTCCTATGTATTGAACTAAATGTTCACAGGGAAATCCCCAAATACAACATTATCATTTAGATATAATGCCAATAATGAGGAGTTAGAGGAATTATTCCAACCATGTGAAGATGACCCTCCCACCCCACAATGTGAACCACCAGTTAAAGAACCTATAAGTGCAAGTCCAAAACGCGGTGACAAAACATCAATCATAGACAAATATTTTAAATCTATGCGTACTGAAAAAAATGACAAACAAGATGATCCTAAACCAGCAGAGAGTAAGTCTCAAGAAGAAGGTAAAACTTCAGTACCAGCAAAGGAAGTCTCATCATCTCCAGTGAAAGACTATCTAAATAGATTAGGAAAAAGGAGTACTTCTGAATCTATACCTGAAGGCAAAGAAAGTGCTAATGAGACATGGAAGATATTCCATGATTTCAAATTCAAAATAGCTCAAGCTGTTGAGGATATGAAAACTAGATCAGTGGAAGGTACATTTTTTTTCATTTCGTACATGATTTTCTTAAAGTCTAGGCTTTTTAAGTCAAACATCAAGAGATAAGTTGGTCATGTTATTTTTATTAGACATAATTGCTTAAGATTTTTTTCTGTAAGATTGTTATATTTGTTTAATGATAGGTATTGCTTATACTAATATTCTCCTACAAATGGCCAGTGTGTAAAAATCATAATATCGGGCCTGAGAATAAGTTACATTTTATTTTATGTTGTAAATACTTTTAAAAAGTTGCCAAATCTTAATGCTTTATTCTATTTCTAATACATAAAGAAACAAAAGAGAAATCACTACCTCGAGAAAATTCAACATCAGATTCTGAAGAAAACTCTGCAATAAAAGATACTGACCAGCAAAGTGTTGGAGACACAGATAATCAGGTGATAAAAATACCTTCTTTTTAAAAAAAAATAACTTTAATTGGAACATAGAAAAAAAATACTTTAGTATTTGTTAAACTTGTATATGCTTAGTACTTGTCTACTCTATGCTAAAAAAAACTTAATCTATACAGGTTTCCTCGCTTGACAGTAGCATACAAAATCTCTCTGAAATGACTCAACCTTTAACAGCAAAGGCTTCAGAGCGCGATTTAAGCCTTGCTAATAAAAATATATCTGATTCAAGTGATGACACACATAAAATATTAGGTAAGTAATACAAAATTGTTAAAAAACATTACCGATTTTTTTTTATTTCATTTAAATAATATTTTTTAGGTCAAAATGAAACTGTAGAAGTTCCGAAAGATGATAATGTTGAAATAGAATCAGGAGTTGAAGCTTTAGAGGACACAATTGATGCATTTGGTGATATAACACAATTAGACTCTGAGTCTCATGATAATAAACCCATTGAAATCACATCAGCCATTCCACAACCTCTAGTCGCTCCTATGGACTTTAATTTCCCTCCGAGCAAAAATGACTTAAACAAAACAAACGACACATGCAGAACAAGGACAAATTTCTTCAACTGCACCATGTATTTTTTAACAATTTTCCTTTTGTTAAATTATATCTTATTTCCAAATGCAAATATTTGGATCGGTTTTCTCTTAGGTCTTTGGGTTTTCTATTGTATTACGTGTTTTAAAACTTGGATACTAGATAATTACTTTAGTGAATGGGAGCCGAAGAGAAGTTTTTATCAATTTAAACAAAGCAATGACATACCTGTTGCATATACAATACCCCCTGTCAAAGAACATACCCCTATGAAGAAATATGAGGTGAGTTTACAAAAAAAATACATAGTATTCTAAATGTTTTTAAAGAATGTATTCTATGAGAATATTTGGCTGTTCATACAATGTTATTTGAAAAATCTATTATTTTTTTTGCAATTGGTATATTTTTTGTTTTAGGGTTGGATAAACCATTACAGATGTCCTGATTACGATCCTTATACATACCATATAAATAAAACAACAACTGCATTTATGAAATTGGAAGGTAAGTTTTTTTTACATTTAATTAATTTATTTGTAAAGAAATGTCTAAAGACGGTTTACGGACGATAATTTTACGTAAATCGTCACAAGTTGTTTTTCCGTCTCTATCGTTTGTTCTGATCTCTCGCTCACACTCTCGACTCAGGTGACAATGACTCACGCTTTTTCATGTGTGTAACCGGCATTCATCAATTTTTTAAAATATTCAGTTGCGTTCAATTTTTATATGTTTTTTTTTAGGTTGTAATTTACGTTTATCATATACAACAACCAAAATTGCCAAAAGAGCGTTATGGGACGAAAAGATAGAGAATGTAACATTTTATCAACACAGACTCTACAATTTAACGGGAGCTCGAATAATATTGCTGCCAAAAGGTCTTGTGAGAAGGAGGTGAGTTTTGTATTCATTTTTTATGCCTAAAAAAAAAAACATTTCCCTTAGTGCCTGTCCCACCAAATTGTAAATTGTCTGATAACAACGTGTAAAATTATCTGACAGTAACATCATTTTTAAACTATCTGAGTCTCTGTCAGCCAGTGGTGGGACAGGCCCTTAAACTTATTAGGTATTTTATATTGCGCAATTTATTACTAACTCATGTAATTGAAATTGCGATCATGGCGTTTATCTTATAGGAACCGTTTTAACAATTAACCAATTATGTAACTATTTGCAGACAGTACCTTTGAAGAAAATGCTATCCACGGTTTACTATTATTGTATAGAATGCCATTGCGTTCGCTTTTTAGTACTGTCTATTATAGTCTGTCAGTATTGTTAAATACCATTTAAATTTTCTTTTTGATAAACGGTTTTAAATTATTGCAAGTCTAACTAGACGTTTCTTATCAATAAAGCGAGCGCACACCTGTCGTAAACGTAACGTTTATTTGTTAAAAATGACAACACTAATAATTTAAAATGACTATACGATTAATTCGTTACTCTAATCGGATAACAACCTCTTTGGTATAATAGCATTATAACGACCTGTTTGCCGAATTCTTTTGTTTAAAATATCGTTGTTTATTTTTAATCGCCTCGTAAACACGAAGTACGATATTGAACGAGTTCTTTGTTTGCTACTTATAAATTGACAGCATACCTGCGTAGTTGTAAATGGGCAAAGTGCCAAAACTTATCCCTTTTTAACTGTAAATTCTGGCAAATTTAACCAAATTAAAATGTAATTATATTGCATTATCCTTCGTAATATAAACTTGATATATTTATTAATTAAACATGCGTTAAGTGATATTAATTAAAAGTCAATTAGAAATTTTATTTAAATCCGTCCATCCAAATTTAGGCTTTCAAGTGTGAACATTTAAATAAATTGTAAGGCGTAGTCATCATCATCATCTCCCCTGCCTTATCCTACTCCCGTAGGATCGGCGCACCGGGTTTTCATCCTCCAAAGCACTCTATCATCCGTCATCTCAGTCATCACTCCCTTCTTGATCATATCACCTTTCACGCAATCCATCCATCCAAATTGTAAGGCCTAATAATTATTAAAATTTTGTAATAAATCAAAAACTCTACTAGCTACCGGAAACCGATAACTTAGAAGTATTTATTCAACTTATCTTCCTCAGTAATCAATACAGATAAGTTTTATAAGTGCTTACTTTAACGTCATTCCAATGGCTTTCTGGGAAACATTTCTTGGTGTATGTATACAATATGACAATAATGCCATTCGGTTAAAGCAAACACTCTTGTTCAATTCCAAAAACATCGATTTACATTGTTTTGTACCATTTAACAATGAAGTCTATGATTAAATAATTAATGGAAACAAGCAATGATTACTTATTATTATTTTTTTAATAATTGAAAGTATTAATTAATGCTATATATGATATTTTTTTATGTTGCCGTCGTAATAGTGTTTATTTGTACTTCAATGACACGAGCTGACCTTGGTCGTTACGCTCCGTTTCACTCAACTTATCATACAACTATGTCGGTCTTCAGAGAAGTGATTTTTAAAATAATATAATCCACTTTCATATAATCAATGTAGAATAGACTTGTTAATTCAGCTTTAATACAGGCGAAGGCTATATTATAACGAATCGAATTAAACTAAATCTTATTCGGATACCATTTCGTTCGTTTTGCTAAGATAATCCATGGAAGACCATCTTTGAAAACTCCCTTTAGAACGTGTTTTTCATAGACAATCTAGTCCTGGTAATCACCCGCGAACTCTAAACAACGCTACAACGATAGGGGAATTCTATTAACCATTTTAATCGTATTTGTAACTGTTTTTAATAGAAATTCTTAGTATAGATGTATACATAAAATTAAACTTTCATTTCTTACCTATTTCAATATACAATCTTGGTAACTTTTTGTATAATTGCACCAAAAGTGGGAATAATTACTTTTTTTATTTTTATCATTTCTTGGGTGATTTTTGTGATCTGCCCTCCGATTCAATTGATCTAATGGAAAAAGTCCTATATTTTAGTAGGCAGGTTAACGGGAAATATCCCAACATTTGTTCTACGTTTTCTAACTTACTATTGACACTTAATTTCTTTACCTTAATTTTTTGTTTTTAAAGGCAATGGAGTAAGAAATATCCCATATGCATTATACTCAATGAAAAGGAAAAGATACAAGTGTTGGAAAAGGAAAATGCGCCAGTAGAAAAGAAAATCGTAGATTCACCGGAAAAGAAAACTAAAGAGCAAATACCTGCACATGAAACGGAGAGTACGGAGACGAATACGAGTCCAGAAAAGAAGAAGAAATTTATATGGAGGAGACGAGAAAAAAGGTTAGTGGATAGTTTTACATACCTTACTGCGGCAATAAGAGTTATTAGTTAGTTATTTTTGGCTTTTTTTTGTTGACCAGTTAAATGTAAGAAATCTCCATGTACAATCAGGGAATCTGTCGATGTTCCACCTTAAAAGCTACAATCGTTGTTTTGTACACAGAGACTACTCAGAACTATAACCAATAGGACGCTGATAATGTCTGTACGAAAACAGTTCGCTTAGTACACGAATTTATTATTATCCCGCCGTTTACGCAACTCACTGCTACCTTATTGGTTATTTGTAGAGCCGGAGTTTGTGTCGTTACAATAAACAAGGCATTTTTCTAAAAGTGGAACACCGCAAATTTCCGCGACTGTACAGTCGTTGGCTAAAGTTTTAAATAGACAGGTTAATGTGCGCCGAATATGTGACAAGTGTCAGATAATGTTGATAAATATTATCTATTCTCAGTATAGGAAACTATTACAGTTATCAATATTAATCGAGGATATAATTAACATCCTGTACGCCGATAACATAGATTATATTAAGTTCCTGTCCCACCACTGGCTGATAGAAGCTCAGATAGCTTAAAAATGACGTCACAGATAAGGCAACAAAATCCGATATTTCCATCATATGTTTTACACGTTGGATTGTTGTCAGACAATTTACAATTTGGTGGGACGGGCCGGGCCCTAACCATACTAAATGTTATTAAATATAAAGTTAAATTTAGCAATAAACTGAGTATAATTCAATATTAGTACAAATTTTAGTAATACTCAGTTTATAACGCGTTTATTTGTAAGGCTGTAAAATTATAATAAAATCCTAGAAAAGTTGCCATAGCAGTTTGACGGCTATATAATTCCATGTGAAAACTTTTTATGAATATGAATAAGTTGTCCGTTGCACGTTTTAATCTGGTTCTTAAAATTAATTACTTTTTAAATCAGCATATTAATCTATGTAGTTTCTATTAATTTTTACCAGTGAACTTGTTTTTTATTTATAAATATTAATTTTCGTCTGTTTTACTATTGTATTAAACATCCTATGTTTGAAACTTATAGACAATCATCACTACCTTATTTATAGCCTAAGAGACCCACCGTCTAACTGTGTAAAATTTTACAAACACCATAAACACGTATGCAGAGATTTTAATTTCCTTTACAGCAATTCGCAAAGCGATAGCGAACCGGGAAAGGAAGGTTTGAGGCATAGACTTGTACGAAAAATACATCGAGGTAACTATGATTCTTTTATTTATTCACACAGAAAAATAATTGTTTTTATTTTTTTAAATTTTTTCTTGTATACTAATATAACAAGAGATCGTATAGTAGATGCTATAATAAATTATGTCTGTCTGTTAATATAAATATGTTATAAAATTTTACCTAAAAAATTCTAAAGGTCGGTATTTTAATTATGCAAATGCACAGCTGCGTGTTCGGCTCAGTGATGTCGAAAATCTTTGTTAACATTACAAATATATTTCGGGAAAATAAGACAAATATTATTTTTATTATTCGAAAGAAGACTAAAGACATTTATTTTGTTTTTACATACAATACATTCATTATTTTTGTTTGCAAGAAATTACAAGATATGAAATAGGATTTACATTTTTTATCAAAGTATATCTATGCTGTACCCAGCCTTTACCTTTCCACACTCTAATTATAAGAAAAGAATGGATAGGGAAAATTGATTTGACGGTGGAGGAGACGCATAGGATGGGGAGATATCCTGTTTATGTGCGTTTTCTACGCTGTCGAATAAGGGTAGGCAACGCATCTGAGTTGCGTTTGTCTACGGGCAGCGATCGCTTCGTCATTTTGGCGGATTCAAGTGGCCGCTTTCTTGTTTGTCACCATGTGATATTAAAAAAAAAATGCCAATTAATATACCCTCTCATATACGAATACGAACAGACAAACGGTCAGACAGTCTGTCGTCAGCGGATACGGAGGCGCCGGCGAGCGATAAGTCGCCGCAGTTTGAGGAGGCGCCCGCGCCTACGCCGGAGCCCGACACAGAACTCGCCTCTAAGTCCGTCACCAGTACTAAGGATGATAATGACGATGAAATCGATGACACCGAATTATCGCGGATTAAAGAGTTTTTGGATGAAGCGGTAAGTATCAAGATTGTTTAGTCACACTACTTGTACGCATTTTACAGGACTACAGCTTGAACGCTGTCATACTTCATAATATTACTTATTTACTAATGTTATATTATAAACTAGTATTCGCCTGTTACTACGTCTGCGTGAAATTGAAAAAGAAACAAAATGAGTAACCTATGTGTTTCTCAGACTGTTTTTTACAGCTATCCCAATCGAGACCCGTTTAGTAGGTTATGCTATAAACTCGAAAAACATCCATCCATCCAAACTTTCGCATTTATAATATTAATATGATTAAAAAGTTTGAATGGATGGATGTTACTACGTACATATCTCCGATACAGCGTAACGTATTTAATTGAAATTTGGCACAGGTATAAAACATAGTCGACAGAACATATAAGATACTTATTAAGTTTATTTAATTCTAACAAAACTAGTTACTTGTATGAAGTAGGTAAATTCGAAATGTTAGTTTACGTTACGCGGTGTATCAGGAGTTGGAGGGGCCGGGGGAGGGCGGCGCGGAGGGCGAGTGGAGTTTGCACGTGAAGCACTCGCGAGACAAGCACGCCAACTTGTTCCTCTTCGCGCGCACAGGCCGCGACAAACACGAATGGTGAAAACATCATTTATCTATATCTATACTTTATACTAATATTATAAAGGGGAAAGATTTGTATTTTTGTATGTATTGGAATAACTCAAACTACTGGGCGGACTTTAAAAATTCACTCACCATTAAAAAGCTACGTAATCATAGGCATCATGAGTAACATAGGCTATATTTATTTGGTGTGTTGTAATATAAAAAAATATTTTCTTGGGTAAATGTACCTGAAAATTCGTACAACAAAGATTATCACTTTTTTCTTTAAAAAGAGCATTCCATAGTATTTTTTTGATTCCGGCTGTAAAACGGTTAATTATGTCACAGGTACCGTCGTCTAAACACAGCAATTTCAGAAGCGAACGCGTCAAGAGAATCATCTTTATTAGAGGATAAGTTAACGAGCGAGGCGCAGGAGAGTAAGGACGGCATCGAGCTCACTGTGTACAAGCTCACAGAAAAGGATACAATCGCATTTGGCAAGGTAAAGACAAAAAATATTTAGCCGAAAGTACAGTACCCTACTTTTGCGGTGTTCGACTCATGACTTCACCTAGCAAAGGAAAATTCCGCTAACAATTTTCTCTTAATCTTAACAATTCCTTTGAGGTTATTTCCCTTTCTTGTTATTTTACTCTATTCTTAAAATATTGATAATTCTAATGTGTTTGTTTGTATATAGAAAAATGTTTTATTTCCACAGAACAAAACGAGTGAAGTATCGTCTGAAATGTTTCCGCCGTACCCGTCGCAGTCTGAGTCCTATGAGAAAACATTCTGGCCGTACTTGTTTAAAATTATACAGGTATGATTTTACTAATTTTAGTGAACTAATACCTATTTTAAGTTGTATTTTTATAATCTGCTACTTAAATTTTTTCGTCTTAGCAGCTAAGGCGAGTGAACATAAGCGATAAAAAAGTTATATGTCTCATGAAATTATTCTTCTTGGCATGTATGGTAATGATGGTAGGATGAAATAAAATAACTTACGACATACTGTGATCACTATAAGAGCATAATATCAGTAAAGTTGTATGCGTTTGTGCGTACAGTCGCACCAAAGTAAACAGCGTCACACGAGCGAGGTGGGCGTGATGTGCCAGCTGGAGCCCTCGCCACACGACCGCACCAAGCCTAAGAAGAAGAAGAAAGGCAATGTTGGTCACCTCATTTGCTCCTCACTGTACTTGTAGTCCTAACTTAATAGTTTGGTGATAGAACTTAGATTTAGATGTATTATAGAGTAAAGTGTCTGTATTTTCTTGTTATATGATATATTGAGGTCATTTTATGGTGAAAAATAGTGCTGTAAAAAGTAATGCGTGTATATTGTCTAATTTTAGACTACTGGTAATGCGTATTTGTAATAAATATGTATTTACATACATATAGAATCACAAATAATGTATTTATTTTTTACTAAGCTGTTGCGTACGACTTAATTAAAAAAAATATGTAAAATGAAATTACTTAGATTAAAAAAAGGCTATAGGTCTCACTGATAAATTACCTTTCTAACGGTTAAAGCATTTTTAAAATAGGCCTAGTAGTTTTTGAGTTATTTCAATAGAAACAAAAATACACAATACTTTCTTTATAATGTTAATATAAATGACATTTATTATTACTAATTAAATACATTATTTGAGTTTCTATTATAGACAGTATCTAATATTTAAAAAAAACATGCTTTGACCATATGAATTACGACTTAGGACGAACCAAATGCTCGTGAAGGTATTTTTTACTAAACACAACTTTATAACGTACGTTACAAGGTGTTACGTTACGGTGCCCGCGTTGCACTAAATTGGTGTGGTTTTTGACGATGTCAATTACGAGTTCCCTTAGGAAGAACCAAATGCTTTTGAAGGCAAATTTTACTATACACAACTTATGACGTACGATGCAAAGTGTCACGTTACGGTGCACGCATTGCTCTAAATGTGGTGTGGTCGCAGCCGCAGAGCTCCGTGGTGGAGTGCGAGTGCCGCACGCTGCCGGCGGAGGTGACGTGGGTGAACACGGTGCTGGCGCGGCTGATGTTCGACGTGATGCGGGACCCCGCCACCATCGCGCGTCTGCAGAACAGGATACAGAGGAAACTTAACACGCTCAAGGTAAACATGACAAGTGCAAATTTTATAATATAATAATAGTACAGAGCTACAAATGTTATTGCGATAAAGACGCTTGCAAAGGAGCACAGTCAGACGCTACCGAAATTTAAATTTTGATTTTTCATCTTAGTTTCTATTTAACAATTAGGACTGTATGTCGTTCGGCAATATAAAACTTTTTTAACTCATTTATTTCTATTTAGTATAACATGAAATAACTACAGTTTGTTAACAAAATTTTTTTTTTAACTAAATACACATATATTTTTATAATAATTTATCTTTATGCGCCGATTTACATGATTGTGCTAAAAAACGTACCATGATAAAAATGATTCATGAAACTAAATTTAAAAAAAAACATTATTCAAAATATAAAATTCTTGAGTTATGACAATGTACATAGGAGCCGTATAGTGACGTAGTATGACATAGTGTTGTGCATGTGCAGCTGCCGTCGTTCATGAGCCCGCTGGTGGTGACGCAGCTGTCGCTGGCGGGCGCGTGTCCGCTGGTGCGCGGCGTGTCGGCGCCCGCGTGGGACGAGCGCGGCGTGTGGCTGGACGCGGACGTGCGCTACGACGGCGGCGCCTACATCTCTATACTCACGCAGATCAATCTTATGAAGCTTAAAGAAAAGAGTCAGCCTTTTTAACTATTACTAGCATAAAAATGGATAAATTGATAGAGTTTGTAGCCAAAACTGCTGAAATCTCGGTAAAATTTGACATAGATAGTCTGGAAGAACACATAGACTACATAATTTTGTTATTGTTTTATTCCACGCAAACGGAGTCGCGGGCCATAGCTAGTAATACTATAGTGGGAAAGTTTATATGGATGGATGGAGTTTGTAGCCTAAACGGCTAAACGGATCACGATGAAATTTGGCATAGATGTAGATAGTCTAGAAAGAACACATAGTTTACTTTTAAACCTGGAAATTGTTACGATTACGTTGCATACGTGAATTTTGTTTTTTTTTTTTTCATTTTGATTCGATTATTCCGTAAATTAAATTTGGAAAATATGTAAAACAAACTTTGGAGTAACACAGAATACAGCACACATAGGCTTCTTACTTTTTTTTTTTAATTCCAATCTCCGGCAAAAGTTAATTTATCATATATTCGTTTACTGCACAGATGTTACTCTGGAAGACCAGTTGATGGCGGCCAATGAAAAAATTGAGGAAACGGATGTCAACTGCCCATCCAGCACGGGCACAGACAAACAATTAAGGGTGAGTTCACATTATTCCTTATTACAATTTTTAGTTTTTTTTGGTAGATCTTACAATCCATTTGATTTATTGTACACTTTGTCTATGATCTCGTTCATAATGTTAAAAAGAAAATGGTACCGGTATCGGTACCGGCGCAATACTAGATCATTGTCATACACGTCCCATCTCTATGACATTTGTCAATGTCAAAAGTAATAAGATTAAGCGCCAATTTTGGCGGGAATCGGTAAACTGAGTATCGAAGGTTTACATTGTTTCGATTATATTGTCTAAAAATAATTATATAAAGCAATTTTCTCTTATTTTGGCTTTGGTTTAAGTTTTAAAACATTTGATGTGGCGTTATCATACTAATATTATAAATGCGAAAGTTTATATGGATGGATGTTTGTAAGAGTTTGTAGCCTAAAAGGCTGAACGGGTTTCAATGAAATTTAGCATAAATTTAGAGAATAGTCTGAAATAACACATAGGCTATTTGGTTCTGTTTTTTTAATACCACGATTTACGGAGATTTACGGAGACGCGGGCGAGACCTAGTAACCAAAAAATACATCCTTTTGTATATAGAAACGTAAGCCGGCGATATACGACAGCGAGATCGAGGACTCTGCGGAGTCGAGCAGCGACGACGACGGCCCGCTCGTGCAGCCCGTCGACAGCGCTGAGAACGTCGTCGTCTCCGACACCTCGTGAGTCGCAAAGATATTCAAATATTTGGGCAAAGTTAACACTTCACTTAAAACATTTTTCAAATAATTACTAACTATTAATCTATACAATTTATACTAATATAATAAAGCGTAAACACACGCTACTTAGTAGCGTAGGAAGTCCGCAATCACAGCATATTTTTGAATAATTATTTCTTTAATAAAAAGCCCTACACTTCCGACACGCTTTAAGCTATATATTTTTAGGCTATTAAACTTTGGTTTGACTAAATGGAAAAAAAAGCTTTATGTGTGAAAGTGACCATAAACAACGAGCTGCCAACATTAAGAAAGCAAGGTTGCCTGGTTTGTCTAAATGTCATATCAATTTGACATTTGCAATTGATAATTTGACACATGTAAACAATAAAATAAAATTTTCATAATTCTATGCGGATGAAGTCACACGGGAACAGCTAGTAGATTATATTAATAGATCCACAAAAGCACACTTCTATCTTTTAATTCCACATGGACACAGTTGCGAATAACAGTTAGTATTTTTTTTTATTTATTTAGTGTTGTCTTTGGTCACATCACATGTTGCTGTCTGTCTATAACAACTGAATGAGCAGGACATTATATTTTTGTCCAATTATTTCAGTTAATGCAAGTAACTAGGTTCGTTCACCGACATAATAACAAAATCTATTTTTTTTTTCAGATCAACTACGACTGAAGGGGGATCGTCGAAAAAGAAATTCCTTAGAATAGTCGATCGGATTGCGACTAATAAATATTTTCAACAGGTACCGTATTTAGTTGAGAGAATGGGGACATAAACCAGAAAGTGTTAAGAACTATGGCTACAAAGGAAGAGGAAGTCCAAAGAAAGTATGGATGGACTAGCTTTAGCCCGCACTGTTTTTGTTTTTATTGAAAAACAACAAAAATGAGTAACCTGTGTGTTCTTCCACACTATCCTCTACATCTATGCCAAATTTCATCGAAATCCATTCAGCCGTTTAGGCTACAAACTCTAACAAACATCCATCCATCCATTCAAACTTTCACATTTACAATGTTAATAAGAAGTAAGATTGTGTGCAAGATATGCTTAAGGGAGTGGATTCAAATATGACGGTTTATAGAGATGTATGGAAGAGCAGCACATACTGTGCCGACCCTGTAAGGGATAACGGTAAGTTGATGACCGTAGTTGCAAAAATAGCTTATTGATGTGAATGTTTTGAGGTGACGGACTACAAGTACGTGAAGCGTGCGATGGAGGGGCTCTCCAACACGGACATCAAGCTGCAGCTGGAGGTGCACGGGCTGGAGGGCCGCCTCGCACTCAACCTGCCCTCGCCACCGCATGACAGGATATGGATAGGGTTAGTTTCACCCCCTATATACTATACTTGAAGTTACCAGAAAGTCGACAATTTATATTAAACTAAACGCTCTATCGGTTTTAAAGTACATTCCCAATAATCATACAACCATCATACAAATTTTAAAAAATACGTTAATAAGAGCTTGCCCCTGCGATTCCGTCCGCGTGGAATTAAAAAAAAAACAAAGTACTTATATGTTCTTCCAGACTATCATTACGACAGACATCTTTACGAAATTTCATCGAAATCCATTCAGCCCTTTTGGCTACAAACTCTAACAAACATCCATCTAAACTTTCGCATTTATAATATTAGTTTGATGTCATCCGCTATTTGTAGTAGCAACTATGTTTGATTTATTATGTCATCCGATGTTTTGTGATGGCGGCCATTTTGGATTTATAATAATACTGTTGTCAAGCCAATTGATGAAAGTACAATTAAAAAACCAAAAAAAAGACCATTTGATAATCATTAGTAGGAATTGATGCATAATGCATATGTTTTTTTAATGTTAAATAAAATAAAAAAATAAAAATAACTTTATTAATTTCCCCTTTGGGAAAGGGACTGGTATCCTAGAGTGACACCCTGTGTCCAGACCTCCGCTAAAATAAAAAAAAGAACATTATTAATTTTCTTTATTTGTGTACTTGTGCAGTTTCCGCACGAACCCGCAGCTGGTGCTGCGCGCGCGGCCGGCGGTGGGGGCGCGCGCGCTGCGCTTCGCTCACATCTCCAACTGGATCGAGCAGAAGCTGACCAGAGAGTTCGAGAAGGTGCTGGTGCTGCCCAACATGGAGGACATCCTGGTCGACCTCATGACGCCCACGCCCATCAGCTTCGAGTGAACGCAGCTAAAATATTACGTTATATTTTCACGATATACGATAATATTTTGACTTTTAATTATACTGCAATACGTTCTTGTTCACAATAATCCTTAAATGAATGATTTTTTTCTTTTTAAATACCCTAAATTGAAACGAATAGTAAATTGAACATAGATCAAAGGAAAAATAAAGTATTTTTTAAAAATAATCTACTGACCGTGGAAGATAAGACAGATGTATAAATGCATCATGCATTTAAGGGTTAAAATTTGTTTACTACGAAACTAGTATTTTACTAATTAATAAGTCAAAAAATTATCGTCATATTTATATTATGCAAAGTATACGGGCCAAAATGTTGTGTCGCGCTAAGCGATGTTACGGGTATTCCCTAATTATTGTCAAATATCGATATAATTATTGTATATTGTGTCTATGTATGAAATTATAAAAATATTGAAACCATAGACAAAGCATCAAAAGCTATGCTGTTTAGGCAAAGGCCAAACGTCATTATGCCACCATAAAGATAAACGTTTATTTTTGTCGGTAAAAAATATTCAGAGTTTTATTTATTATATTAATATTTTTATTTAAAGATCAATTTAATCCGTAAAAAATATGGTATAATTTTTTTTAATATTCATTTCTCATCGGCTTTCTTACCATTGCATTGAATTACAAAATCTTTGTCAAAATTTACTGAAATGTTCTCTGCGAAAATCCATCAAGTTCCTTTTATTTAGTCAAGGAATTTACCAAGTTACTGTACGAAAATTAATAGTGAGTTTGCATTTAATTTTACGATCAAGTTACTATTTTAGTTATAGACATTGTAAACGTAGATAAAAAAAAAAAACATTTAACATATGACCGTTTCTGTAAGGTTTCAGTTTGAATTTTGAAATTTAAAAAATCGATTGGAAAATTTAGAACTGTTTTTTAATCGATTTTTTTATATAGTCGAGTATGCTCTTTATCTCTATCTAGAATAAGTACCGTGTTCAAATATCTGTTATTTGAGCGTATAAATAAGTTAAAGACTGTCGCTACGGTTAGCAAAAAAATTCATTTAATAGAAATATTTAGCAGTTAGTGCATGAAAAAAAATTCCATTCATATTTATTTAGTTTTTCATTTATTAAAATTATATATTTGAAATATAAAATAGGTTAAATTATTTAGATGAAAGGTATTATTTTTTTCGTTTTAGTTTTATTTATGTTTATGTTTACTGTTTAAACAACTTTTACTCAAATGTAGAAAAAAAGTATATTTTTTTGTATTTAAAAGTATTTGTAATATTGAAAGAAATTATGAAGTATTTGTATATTTGGCTAGGTTAGTATGATTTTATTTTTATTTAATTCTATATTGTGTATGTTTGATTCGCACAATTTTGATATCAACATGACACTGCCGTGATTTGATTAATTTTGGAAACTACAAAAAAAACATGATTTTAGTACTATGGTATAAAAAATCACCATTCACTATTCTTTAAAATAATATTTCTTTCAGGTACAGTATTTATATACACATAAAACTGTTTGTATATTTAATTATTGAATCATTTTTTCTTGTTTTTTTATCTATTTGTTTAAATCCAATGCTGAAATTGTACAAAACTTGTTCTCTCTTTTTTTTTCATGCAATAGAGAGAGATGATGATGTATTTGTCTGAATGTAGCATTGGAAGGAAATAAAAATCCTACATATTTTTACCAAATCTGAGCTTTCTCTCGTCTTTTCTCGTTAATAAACCCTTTGACAATAAATCCATTATAGATGCTGTTAAAATTTCAATATTTATTAACTAAAATAGATTTTATTGTATGAAAATAAAAAAAAATCTAAACTGTCTATAGATGTAGAAATTCATTGTTAGAGATTATTAAGAGTTTATATAAAATACGTCTTTTATAGAATCGGTATAGTTAAAGTCACTATAAGCTCCACAGTTCAAACTATCAAAATTGTTTGTATATATCTTTGTCTGTATTTAATAAAATTTAACACTTACTAAGGTAAATCCATAAAAAACATTTCTTCGGTCAAATTTTTCAATGACAGCGGTGAAAATGATTCTAATTTGTTTTTATAAACACTTTGCATTTGGAATATAAGAGCTTGTCCCACCACTGGCTGATAGAGGATCAGATAGCTTAAAAGTGACGTCACTGTCAGATACCATAATGCGATATTTCCATCACATTTATACGTTGGATTGTTATCAGACAATTTACTATTTGGTGGGACAGGTTCTAATCGTTTTAAAATTCGACAATATTTGACTTTATTAAAAAAAACACGTTAACACGCACTTTGATTTCGCTCTTTGAATCCTTTATTGATAAATTACTAAAGAATATTTTTTATAAATGTAATTGATTAAGGTAAAATGATTTTTATAAGGCTGATTGTAACTTGCTCATTCTTCAAATTAGGAGAAAGGCAAAGAGAAAAAAGGCAGTGGGTTTTTATTTTTTTTCTTCTAATACCCTTTCTGAAATGTCACAAAGCTGACGATTAAAATGATGGTTCTGGAATAAAGAAATTTTGAATTTTCTATTAGTATAATATCCCAAGCTAAATATAGACGCGCTATTAAATTTGTTTTTATTGTTACTTTCATATTAATTTTCTTGTATGTATTATGCTGGACTTGGGACTTTATAGTCAGGTATCCTGTCCACCCTAATTCTTGAAATCAGATTTGTATAATTTTATGCCATGTTGACCAAGCCATTAGTTTTAATATCTGACTGAAGTATTTTATGTATGGTTGTTTGGGAATTTTGAAAACTGAAAATTAATCCTTAAAATATACTGAAATATTATTTTTATAAATACCTTCAGTTTACGAACTTTATTTAACAATTATCTACATATCAAATGACCTGTACCTGTTTTCAAAAGAAATATTTTGGTATACAATTTATTTCACAATAAAAAATGTTACTTAAAATATGTAACATTGAAAATGCACTTCCGAAACCCATTTATTATATTCCTTTCTCTTTTCTTTTCAGTGAGAATGAAAGGGATAGTAATATCCATGAATCATCACTACTCGTTCATAACATGACATTGAAGTAGTAATACAACAATATCTGATTTTTTTTTTCATATTTAAAAAATGTCATGTTTACGTGAAAGAAAAAAATAGCTTTTCATTACGTCTTATTGTTCCATTATTGTTATTATGCACCTTTTAGTACGGAGCCTAAAGGCCGGTGCTTTAGATGTCAAACCAAGAAAATGTAATATTTCATATGTTTAAACTTTTATTGTAAATATATGTTTGTGTATTTTTAGTTGCTCATGATATTGTTTTTTTATATTTTATTTATTTAAAGATATCCTTTTGGTTCTTGTCGCAACGTTTTCAAATTGTACCAAAATATAATTTATATAAATTGTCTTTGTATATAGAATATCAAATTATAAAAGTGTTTGTGATATTATATAGTTAAGAGTTAAACCGTGCCGAGTAGATTTTCTATGTGGTATCAGTTGTGATTTTTTCAATAAATAAATTGCTATATTACATGTGGCTCTTTTTATTTTAGAGAACCTTTCACTTTTAAGTTATTAGTTGTGTATTTTAATAATTTTCAATGGTGAAATCTCAGTAAAACACTTTGGGATTATTATTTTCTTTTGAAAAGCAGTGATAAAAATTACTATTTGACTTCCCAAAAGGAGGTACTCAATTTGTCTTCGTTTTTTGTACAGATGTTTTGATAGACCAAATCAACGGTCTTAAGGGTTTAAAAAAATAAACGTAAATAAATTTTGAAACAACTTTATTCAAACGTCCTGTTCGATGTAATACAATATTTTTTTTAATTTCCACCTAAATATAATTTCCAAACGTTTATATACAATAGGTATTTCGTTATAAATTATAATCGTTGTATTCTATATCACATATCAACATTTCTAATAAAATATTTTGTACAAATATATTAATATTAATAAAATATATGCACAGGTTATATTTATAAAGATAGAGATTTAATTGAAATCGTAAACGCTATATAATATAATATTTTATCAACATTTGTATTATAATTTGAACAGTATATAATTTGTATTGGAAGCACTATTATGGAAAGTGTATTCGCAGCTTTTGTGTTTATTTACAATATAACATATTAGTAAAATTAGCAGATAGTTATGAAACAATTATTCATTAACTCTTAAAATGCTATTCAATATGTCTATATTTTGATCTTATTTTTAATATTTACAATGTTGAGATCAACTTCATGTTTACAAGATCTTAATTATTTTGGCACTCTGGACCACAAGCTCAAAATATGAGCATTTTACTAAATATATCTCTTATTTATACAATATAATATATTTTATACACATGATATGGCAAGTATACATTAGACATTTCGTGTGATGTTTTTAAAATCAGATAACAAGATCTGAAGACAATTTTAATCACTGTTATTAAATAGTTTTCAATATAGGAAAATAATTATTTACATTTTTCACTTAAACTAAGAATGATTATTTTTTTGTAATATAGACAAAAGCCAGTATCGAATCAAGGAAAATATTGTAAAAATGTACATTTGACAAAATTAAAAGTAGCGGTAACAACTAGCACTAAGTTATCGCTACAATATTATTTATATTACTGAAAATAGTTCATACAATGACTATTTTTATAAAACATTATAAAAACTATTTCTTTTTTACTTGTTCGTCAGGATTACGTTAAACATATATCCAACTATCACTTTTTGTATGAACGAATGACGTCATTACACAGTGAAAAACGAAAGAGTACAAATTGTGATGTTTGTTTATTTGACTGCATGCAGCTCGATTATGACGTCAGAAGTTCAGTTTGATTGCGTCACGCAGAACACGCGTCAAGTATTGCATTGCAGCTATGACGTCATAAGAGTGTTGCAGTGATCGTGTCATCTGTCTCCCTAGAAAAAGTGACATTCGATTAGCGATGTCCCTTGTAAAATCGACAAGATGTGCCAAAATGTATAGGAATTTGTCTCTTTCATACATTTATGACTTTCCGATCAGCGTTAGCGATAATCAAATGTTACTTTGTCTATGGGCTGAAATCCACATGTGGCAAGAATACCAAGCTTGGTATTACACAGAGTTGTGACGTCATAAGTCACAGCTATGAGTGTAACGTGCAGTGCGCATCGTTCGCGTTCTTGCGCAGCTCCACGAGACGGCGCCAGTGCTGCAGGCGCGGCGCGCACACAAGCGCCAGGCGGCCGAGGCGGCGGCGCGCCATCGCAACAAACTCGCCTCCGCCCGCGGACGCGCCGCAGCCGGACCACACGTGCACGTGCGCGTGCAACGCTTGTTGAGACTTCTCTGACTGCAATGTATTGTCACCGTCATACCTGTAAAACACAAGTATTGAATTGTAATAAACTGTAATCTCACTAATATTAAAAATGCGAAAGTTAAGATGGAAGGATAGAGAGTTTGTGGACTAAACGGCTAAACGGATCTCGATGATATTTGGCATAGATGTAGAGGATAGCCTGACAGAACACATAAGCTACTTGCTTTTGCGTTTTGTTAAGTCCACGCAAAAGGAGTCGCAGGCGAAAGATAGTCGTCAATAATGTTATGATACATCTGTTACGCGCAGACTAGACATTGTGAACAACTTAACGGTAACTTCTTTGAAAGGTAATATGTTAGTTGTCAAGTTTATTACGCCACCGCATGTCCTTGTATTGACATTTATAAATAATATTACAAAATTACAATAAGCTCTCTTTTGTTATGAAATATACTAAAAAGTCTCACAAAACAAAACATACACTTTAAAATATGATTTATGGCCGGTTTCCCAGATATATTTAACCATTCGTTAATCCCTTCTCGATCATGTCACCTTTCACGCAATCCATCCATCTCTACGTCATTCTACGTCTACCTCTACCGGTGTACCTCCACGCTCATAACTATCGTACTAGTTATAATCTAATATAGTAATTACATACCTATAATATTCGTCTTGTGTGAGATCGGGAGCGTGTAAGGTGTGTGTTGGTGCGGGGTCGGCAGAGTCGGCGGGGGCGGAGGCGCGCAGTAGCCGCGTGAGGCGCAGCGTCAGCTGAGTGGTGTCCAGCTCCTCCCTTTGCTCGCTGCCCACTATCATCACCCGCGACACTAAACAATGCAACATAACATGAAAACCATATTTTTTTTACTACTTAATAGTTACATTATTGCATGAAATTGATGCTTTTCTAATTCTGTGAAGTGTAAATCCTTAGTATTATCAAAAAATAAATTAATGAGGTATTAGTTTTTACCTAGACTAAGTGTTGCTAGCGACTTCGCCCGCGTGAAGAAAATTTATAATTGTAAAATATATCCTACGTTACTCACTGATAACAAAGTTCTCAATGGTGAAAGAATTTTTGAAATCTGCGCAGTAGTTTTTGAGTCATTTCATTCATACATACAAAATATACAAAATATACAAAAATACAAATCTTTCCTCTTTAGTAGAGACTAATTTATAAAGAGAAAAGATTGTACAATTTGTGGTTTGTATCATATTATTTTACGTATAATTTATGAACCAATTGCTTGCATTATTCGTAAAAATTTCATGCTCTATTCAATGCCTAATTCCACTGGTGACTAGAGCTTAGTTGATTGAACACGTTTTAAAGTTACCGCTTAAACTGATTGCGAACTAAAAATGATTGTAGTCGTCCGTGACTATAAGAGATAACGTTTTGTTACAAGTATTAATCAC